ACCTAACATGACCTATCCTAACTAACATATATAACCTGAAATCTGAAGTAAAAACTAAAGTCATTTAGAATGCTTTATTTGAAAAAAAATATCTACCCTCAACATCTAACCTGACTTCCGAATTCAAAAACGGTCTCATGTTAGTATGTTGGAAATGATTCTTGATCCTGAATATAAGTTCGTTTTTGAATTCGGAAGTCAGGTTAGATGTTATTGTAGATGCTTTTTTCCAAATGAAGCATTTTAAAATACATTAGTTTCTACTTCAGATTTCAGGTTACATATGTTGGTTAAGATAGGTTATGTTAGTTTAGTTGAAAAATACTCGATTTTGTTTCATTCATTTTCAATGTCTAGAATAGTAACTACAAACATTTAATTCCAGCTACAATAAACCCCATCGTTTGTAGTTTGAGGAGAATTATTATTTTATGATTTGAAGTCTTGTTATCGTAGCTTCGAAAGAATATGAAAAATATTAATATTTTGTTGGTATTACAATAAACTACAATCCATTTAAAACCTATTCCAGAACCCTTTGGCACATTATTACTCGTCCTTCGTAGTTAGAATAATATCAATAGTACTTTCTCAGTAACCGATAAGACTACAAAAAAATGAACATTACTACATTTATTAGTATCGTTGATTGGTAGAGTAGGCTAAAAACTAAAAAAAAGGTAAATTTTTTCAAAGTGGACCTTGATTATCCTTTGTTACTGCCCCGCTGGGGACAGAATCAGGTTTTTAGAGTTTGGCAGAGCTGACCCGACCTGAAAGACCACTCGCCATACAAACTAATCGGCTTCGTTAAGAAGCTGGGTTTGGTCGCCGTGGGTTTGGTTGCCGTGTAGGGTCTAATAGACCCACTCACTTTGGACCGATCTTAACCCAACCCCATAATTTGAAATTTTGTATTCACTTTCGAAAGAAGGGAGTAATAAATTGATTGTTTTATGATCGCCCACTATACAAATATCTTATTAACGGTATATAACAGATCTAGCACATCCTAATGTAGAAAATAATTATAAACATATTTATTTACTATCATAACAATGATAGAGAAGAGAGAAAAATAAAAGATCTTATAGTTGCTAATAATTCTTAACATTATTTTGGTCAATTCAATAATTTCATTGCACTACCATATAGATTGAATTTTAAATTTTTCAAATTAGCACCGAGCAGTAAGCATCTGTGATTTTATTTCTTTCTTGAATTGATGAATATTATGTTTCAAAAGGGATAAAATTTCATTCAGATAAGAAGGGGCTTTATGAGAAAAACATCCTTGAAATTTGGAAGTACGGTGCCTAGGTATGTTGAATGAGTGATTCTCAAATTGACCGTATGTGTGTCAGAATGTCTACTTAATAAACCATATAAATAACTAGGTGTTTTGGTTTGAAGCAACTTATACAAAAAAATTTGTATCAAATATTGTACTCTGTACAATGATGTGACATGTTCACCATATGGTATACAGCATACGAATCGCATGCAAGCATTTTGTATACGTTGTAACTTCTGCTTGTTATGTTGCGGCAAAAAATTGTAATACACCCAACAAAAATATTATTATTAAAAAAATACTCGATATGGAGATAAACAAGAGTTTTAACTAACCTGAGTTTCATTTCTTCCGATAACTGATACTTGAATATGTATAGCGATTTGTGTTCGGAGAATAATACTTTGAAAATATTTGTCACATTTTCATGGAAAGACATAGTTACGCCAAGATGTTTAGCACTGTCTATCCAGTCAATCGAGAGTGAGCCTAAAGTTACACTGAGTTTCTACTATTTGTCTTTGAGACCCTATGCATAAGGCCAAAGTTTCATTCGGATTGATTTTCAGTCCATGATTCTCCAAGTATGGGAATGTTTGGTGCAAATCTGTGTTTATATTGGCCACGCAACTTTCTGTTTCGGTATCATGGAAAGACAAATATAACTGAATATTATCTGCATATAGATGTACTTGACAATGTGATAAAAAAGTGGAGTAATCAAAATTAAACACTAAAAACATCAAGGGGCCTAAAATCCTTCCCTGCGGTACATCTGAAATTGTTTCTTTTTGGGATGACCATGAGTAATCATCCAGTTTGACTCTCTGTGATCGGCCTGTGAAATAGCTGGTCATCCATTTAACCTTCCATTACTCGCGCCAAATTATAGTACTAAGTAACTCGCTCACGGTCCAGCAGAACAGCTAGTAAATTATGATATTTCTGAGTGCAGTTGCTAAGTTGTGAGGAATTGAATAATTATTATATGATTTTGGGGTAGAATAAAAGATACTTCAAAGATTTTTTTACAAAAGGAATATATTAAGCACAAAAACAGGAGTGAAAAGTTTTACTGTACTTGAAAGAAAAAATCAACCTAAATTTTCATAACATACATTACACATTGGTCTAATGTGTTCTAAACACAAATATTTTGTTGTGACAACTGTGACAGAGGTATTTGGTTTTTCTGTTTTTCTTCCAATTACACTCAGCACAGCGGCCCACGGTTCCCGGGGTTCTTACTTGAGCTTCGGCTGAAGCTGGTAAACCACACACTTCTCGTAATCTGCTTCTTATGGTCCTTGGCAAATTGGCAGAAACTGATCTTTCTTTTTGATAGTCGTAGAGAAAAGCCATGGAGAGATTTAGAAGAAATTCCTTTCTGAGTGTTTTTTGAATCGGATGGTTTCCATTATAAACAACGAACGCATTTACACCAGTTACATTCAGCATGCTGTAGAAGGGGACCATTGGCCACCTTCTGGTACCACGAGCACAACTGTATTGAGCACACAATTATCCACCATGTCTACCCCTCCTTTGGTGCGATTATAAGTCATAATAATTTTAGGTATAATTTCAATTAGGGCTTGAGGTGAAATACCTGTTCCAAACATAAGGTCTGCATAAGAACATCCTGCTGCTAAATATCTTAATGTAGCGACCAATCTATCTTCAGCATATATTGCCTTTCTCATGATTGTNATTAAAGACGTATAAGTATCAGAATCCATTCTTAAATAATTCTTAAAATCACAAGGCTCTTCTTGTTGCAACACTTGTAATAAATTCATATGAGAATATTTCTTTTTGTCCATTAACCACTTTTCACACCATTTTCTCTTCTTAACTTCTCGTTGTTCATCGTCATCATCTACCATTAACACCGTAGCTGAAAGGACAGCAGCTTTTCTTTTTGAAATTTTTGAAGACATACTTGCAAAACAACTTTTTAACCAACACTTCTGAACTATAAAATCTAAACTTCGGCAGTACGATGTGTCGTTAGGTGTGGATGAAAAATGGGTGTACTGCATGTCGTATGATTTTCTTTACGATTTGCAGTTCAACATGCAGTACGAAAAATCGTAACGTGTGTAGGCCACTTACGAAGACGTTGAATATGGTCATATAATTAAGGAACCGGGATCAATGAAATATTCATTCATTCATTGTTATACATTTGCCAATTGTGATATTATTTTACATATCCTCATGATGATGAGTAAATCCAAAAATTATTGTTCTGCGGACCATTGTGATGATCAAAATATCATATCAGATATCAAAATATGATTCCATACAAAACTTTTGAGCAAAGCGAAGACCCCCGCCCCTACATAATGCTCACGTTATACTTGAACGGCACCCAGTCATGACACAACTCTCCCCAGCAATCTATGGTACTGATCAGATGAAAAAAAAAAAAATAAAATCGTGTCGTAACCTTAGTGAATATGTGAATTCTTATTACTGTTATCAATTTTTATTTAAAAAAAGTGGGTTTCAAATTTAATCATTTGAATAATCAATACCTGTGGTAATAAAACGCTGAAATTCATTGAACATTTTTATCATTTCTCAGAGTTTCTGAAAAAATACTTATTCTACATGGGGAAGGGGTACGAATATTTCAATTTATCTGTGGCGGCAATTCAATTCGTGTAAACTTATGAAATTCGAACAAGCAAGGCTGCTTCTTTATAAAACGGTCAAGTTGGCCAAGTAAGTTCATTCAGTAATGTTCAATATGCATTTATAGCCAACCAATCGTAATCAAGTGTACCTTAAACCTAAAATACCTTACTTTAGAATAATCCGAAGATCTCATAAACTAATATATATTACCCCTATTCTCCGTATAGTAACTTATGAAGCTTATAACTGAAGCTCGCTTAATTCGCAAATTGTATATACCTACATTGCAAGAGAAATTTGCCTTGAGTCCGCTTATTCAAGTTAGGAAAGTTAAGTTCACGCTTTGACTGCTTAGAGCCCTATAGTCCAGCTTTTATGAACGTAACTTAGTTTTTGCCTGCGGTGGGGACCGATAAGTACCACTAAAACCTACAATTGTATCTACAATATTCATATTGTACAAATATTCATAGACTACAACATTCAACCTTCCGTGACCTTACTAATTTCACTATCTGATGAAAAAACTTTTTGCGTTAGTTTTTAGGACTGAACCAAACTGTTCCTTCATCTTAGCACTCATAAGTATGATGCATGAACTTTCTTAAAGAAAAAGTTTAGTCTATGAGGTGTCATATGTATATTTAATATGAAAACTACATAAAAAAAAAAAACTTTTTTATTTTATATATCAATTTTATTTTGTGTTTTTTCATGATAAGCGCATTTTCTATTTCCATGTGCTGGAATCGAGTATACAAAATATGGAATGTTAATATTATGTACTACCCCATGTTAGTACCTGAGATCCCCTCTTCTCAAACACAATACGACAATATTTTGACACATTTACACAATTATGACATTAAATTCTTCTTCTTCTCTCTATTAACTGTGCTCGGTGAGCATGATTTACTTGATAAATTTCAGCAATTTTCAGGAGTTTCCACATGTGTTTTCTCTTTAGGAGTAAAAACATTCAAGCTGAGCAAATTTTTCAGCCGATCCACAGTATTCCGTTTAGTTACGGAATATTATGGTCGAGCCGTCGAGCTAGTGAAGCCTGACTTTTCACGATATACGGAGAATAAGTTGGTAGAATTGACAATTGACAATACTGTCTTTGTAAAAAATTATACGTGAATTTTAAAATTGACAGACTTCTGGGCTTGGTTAAAAAATTGTTCTATAGATCTGTAAAACAGACCCATAACAAAATGGGATTTAATGATATGCTAAATTATGTAGTCTATGATAATCCGGTTTCAAAAACTGCTGTGTCTCTGTCCAAATCTACTTTATCTCTTGTTTCTGTAAGTAATATATTTAACTATTACTACCATCACTTATTATTATTTTATCAGGGCAATAAAACTTCTGCCATCCCTTCAGTGACGGTAATTACAGAAAAGACACCTTTATGGAAAATGGCAGCAGAAGGTGGCCCCTTTATCAAAATAGCAGGGATTATGGGAGCTTCCGCAGTGGCTTTGGGTGTGTATGGAGCACACAAAAAATACCCCAAAGACAAAGTCAATGAACTCAAACCAATTTATGAAACCGCAAGCCGATACCACTTTTTTCACACATTAGCTCTCTTAGCAGTTCCTATGACTAGATATCCTAGTGTGGTAGGTATTACATTATCGTCCAATGATAACATATTACCTTTGACTGTTTTTTAGACTGGAAGTTTGCTTATAACTGGAACAATACTTTTTTCTGGAGCATGTTATTATCACGCATTCACTGGAGAAAATAAACTTGGAAAAATGGCCCCAATAGGCGGCACCTTACTTATTTTTGGATGGCTGTCCATGGTTGTTTGAATTGGTTTCTTATACTAGGTAATAATGTATATTAATTTTTTAGGTGAATGATTTGATCTACGTTTGTGGTGCATATACGAAAATGTAGTTTTTTTGTTGGTAATAAACAATATAAGTAGCATATACTTTGAAATTTCCTGGTTAACTTGTTTTTCAAGAACAGATCCAACCATGTTTATCAAGTTGGATGGCATTCAACAATAATTTTACTGCCAAAATGACATTTATATGTTTTACAATGAGTTATGAAAGTGATCAAATACAATTTAAGAGTATTGGTGATGGCGAATTCTGTTCTCAAGTTTATCAGTGTGTGGCATATATCACACATAAATGTAAGTGAAGTTCTGTAACAATATTTTACATGAGTACCATAAAAATTGTAGGTCCTATTTTACAAGATTTATTTCTCAAGTGGATTACTCTCACACCCAGAGAAAAATTTTTACTGAACTATATTGCATTTTATGTTTTTGATAAGACACAAATTGAATTGTTCTCTCCTGTTATTCAAGGGTTCAGCTATTGGAATAGTGTACAAGATACCGAAGGTAATTATTTTCAAATTCATTTTTCTTTCTGAATTTCATTTCATTACAGGTGCTTGTGGTTTTCATGAAAACCCGCTTGAATTCAAATTTGATCTAGACGAAGAGAAGCAAATCTTCCAAATAATAATGATTATAGATCAGGTTGTGTCCAATATTTTGATAAGACCCATGCTATGCATAGAAATAAAAAAATTCAAGAGTGGTGACAGATCAAGATTAGATCTCTTTCATAATGGCCAAGGAGACAATTAATTTTTTAATGCTGCTTGAATGAGTATAAAACAAGATGACTTATTATTTTATTTATTATAAACTTTCTTGAGAAATATTTTTGATTCAATTTGGAAATTAGGTACTGAAGAGAGCCGTGTTATCTGTCATTGCAAGTGATGGAAAAAGTTGTGCCAAATTTGATGTTTATTGAAATAATTCCCACTCTGAGCCTGAAAGTTCTGTAAAAAAGATGTTTCTCATGTAAATTAGCCTGAATAACTGTACATACTTTTGGGTAAAAACATCTATAAAAGATATTTGGGGTAGGATTTTAAAAAAATTGAAGCACATAATTGCTTTCATCCTTTCTTCGGAAGATTCCCACATTTTTTTTTTTCTATAAGGAAGGAGAAGTAGAAAGCCAAAACTTTCCCAATAATTATTCTCTCCTAAAAATATATATTTTTCAATTTAAATAATATAGCAGATGCGGAATTAGGAGAAAGCAATGTTATTTGTCAGCTAATAATAAAATGTTGTTTAAAATGTTCTCTTGTTTCTGGATCACGACCTTTTTGACCTCAAGTCACAATGAGGGATGCAGTAATAATGATTTGATTCTGAACCGCTAATGTTCATTCAACGTTAAGAAATGATACTGGACAAAATCCCCCAGTCACCTGAAATTCAAGAATAGAACATATTTCCCTAGTAAATGTTGGCTACACTTGATGTCTAGTATATTGTGAACTTTGGAGTGTAATTTGAAAATACATATTTTCCTGAAGAAGGACGAAGGTAGCAAAGTTAACCTGATTAATGACGAAGATGACCTGAAAACTAGTTCTTAGACTGGCAAACAAACTTCGTATTTGCTATGCTAATATGCAAAGTTTGCGTAATAAGTTGGACGAACTATATTGTTTTATAAAAACAAATGGCTGTGATATCTTGGTATTGAAGGAGACGTGGCTGTCTGACAATGAACTTCAATTTTTTGATCTAGATGGATTTGTGGCTGTTCATTTCTGCAGAGAAGGAAGAGCTGGAGGTGTTTCGGTATATATTTGTGAACATATTGATTTCAGTGTGATAGAAAAAGTTGATGGTTCTGATCAATATCATTTAATGGCAGTTTTGTTAAAATCTTTAAATCTGCAAATATATGGTATGTATAGACCACCTAAATATCAGTTTAAGGAATTTATCGATATATTTCAGAATATATTATGTAGCAAAAAGAATAAAACTATTGTACTGGGAGATATGAATTTCAATCTTCTGAATGCAGATTCAGAGGAAACAAAAGAATACATTGATGTGGTAACTATGAGTGGTTTTAGAGTATGTAACGAATTCTCTACTGGATCATGTCCTGGTTAATGAAAATAGATAGATAGATAGATAGATATCCTTTATTAGTTCTTTGTAATAAAAAACCTTTTCAGGTGTAGAACATGTCAATTACAGGAAACATTACAGAAATAGTAAAAAAATCATGAGGCAATGAGAATATAAATGGCCACAGACGTATAAATAACAAGGTTATCACAGTCAATATACTTAATGTAATATTGTTATATTAGATACAGAACACGAACATATACATCTATATGTAGGGTTCAAAAGAGACAACTACATCACAATGCAGAATGATACAACATGAAATATTTAACGCGAACAACATCAGTGTGATGTCTCAATATTCAACTATGCTCTGTCTGATCATAAGCCATTAAATATCAATGTAGGTATTGAGCTTGTATACTTTAAACCAAAGATACTAACAAACTTCAGTGTAGTTTAAGCAAGATTTATTCAAACAAAAATTTAGGGACGCGTCACAAAATTGTGAATCCATTGACACAATGGATACGCTAACAAAGGTAATAAATGCATGTAAAGAAAGTTCTAGTTATAAGATAAAATTAAAAGATCGCAAAGGGAATGATTGGATGACCTATGATCTATTGAACTTAATAAAAGAACGAGATAGTATATATAAAAAAATAAATGGAGTAAATCCAAATTCTGAAAATATAAAAAATATGAGTGAGTATATAAAAAATAATTGTGGCGTACTACAGGGTTCCGTTTTGGGGCCCCTGTTCTATACACTGATGGTACTGTCACTGAGGCAGGAAGGTATTTCACGTTCGCCGATGACACGGTCCTTTTGTACAGTGGATATGATTTACATTTACTGGAGAACACAGTGAAGATCTCTCTAAATACTCAAATTGGCTTGTACATAATACACTTGGGTGAACTCTGCAAAAACCGTTTACATGCTATTTAAACAAAAAAAAAATAGAATTTGTGGAAATATTGAATTAAGAATAAATAACTTACCCTTAATGAATGTTGCAAAAACCAAGTATTTGGGACTCATAATAGATGATAAGTTATACTGGTCAGGACACATAGATCATATTAATGATAAAATTGTACCAATGTTAGGAGCTCTATATAGGTGTTCCAGTTACTTGAGTTTCAGTAATAGATACTTGGTTTACAATGCATATATATTGGCGAATCTTAGGTATCTGTTAATCATATGGGGTAATTGTGGCATTACCAATTTCCCAAAAAATTCAAACGCTACAAAATAAATCAATAAAAATTTGACTTCAAATTCCATTTTGAACCCACAAATGATTTATTCTCACTGTACCCAATTAAATATCTACTTAAACTTGAGCAATGCAAGAGCATATATAAAATAAAAAACAAAAGAATCAAAAGCAACAACGATCTACTAGTCAACAACCAGTTTTATGAGTATAATACAAGGGGTAGAAATGACTTACACCTGAGCATGGTAAGAACGAACAAAGGATCATCCTTTCACACAGACTATAAAAGTTTTCAATGAATTACCTGTCCATATACGTGAGTTGCCGGGCTATAGTTCATTCATCAATAGTTTTAAAGAACATCTGAGCCTCGAGGCACACGTCTGATACTTTGATACTATGAGCTTAGTAGTGGTTTACTAGTTTTTATGTTTCACTTGTCATGTTGAATGTTTGTGAATCCCGAGACCAGCATTTTTGCTGATTAGGGAGAATAACAACATATTTTATATTTATAATGTCTTAATTATGTTGAACTGTACGCTGTTGTTATAATAAAAAAAAAAAATTACTCACTAATGTTCAATCAAGTACAGTGATTAGTATGTATTCTAACTACAAATTAATTTTTGTTATTTGATTAATTGATGGATGTAGCCGTTACTACGTGGTAGATCATAATGAAAAATGAGAATTGAAACTTCCTGATTTTTTTACCACAAATGTTCGTAAGGGGAGATGTCATCGCATCTACTTAGCTTGATATCGGTCAAGAATCAAGGTAACAATAGCTGAACAGCCCGATTTATTAGTTCCGCCCAAGAAATGATTTATTCAGGTAAGTTTTCAAAAGCAATAATAAGTTTTGATTTTGGCGAAGTCTGTGTGCCAAAAATTTTATGGATAGGTAGTTTATGTAAAGTAAATTTACATATTTTATATCCTTAAGACTGGGAGCGCAATGATTTTTCTGGCTACGGGTACACAGTCCGAAAAATTATAGTTGAAAAGAAAGAAAATTGAAGAAAAAAATACAATTTCAAAGAATGAAGTATATTTACCATTAAAACAATGCTATTTTTCAGCAGATATGCTGTAAACTAAAATATACATGAAACAAATGATAAACTAGAATGTAACAGTTATATATACAGAATGACATGAAATCTATCTCAACATCAATTTTTTTTTATGTAGTATAGCAGTAATTATCAAGCAGAATACACGTTGATAAAATATACAATAATATAATAATACACTGAGTTTAAATCATTGAATATTGAATGAAAAATGTCAAAACTTTTATAAAATCTCGATATCTCAAACAAAATTTACAGTATGTCTCAGTAAGTAGTAATCATATGGAAACCTTTTTTATTATTGATTTCAGGAAAAACATTATTCACAAAAAATTGTGCAAACCTGAAATTCAGGTTTGCACAACAGTCGTAACGAGGTTTCTCAAAACATGAATTTTGCTCCAGAGAGAAATACCTTTATTACAAAAAAGAATGAAAAGAATAAAAAATTAAGTTGTATATGTAAAATAGGTTGATAATATTGAGAAACTGAAACGTTATCACGTTTTGAGAAATCTCAAGAGATAACTTTTCTCTATCTGAAACAACAAAATGTAATTTTTATTGTAAATTGTAAGATATTGTCAAAAATAAAGGTACTTTACTCCTAGGTAAAAATAATATTTTTGGCTAACCTCACACAAGACTGAAATAATTTAGTAACCAATGAATGGTTGCATTTCAGGTTTCAGTCCTTGAAGATATTTTAATAAGATTTTTTTCCTTAAAATCAATAATTCTTGTACTGATGTAATGTAGAATATTTCCCAGCCAATCTTACTGGAATGAAATGTTCATATTGATAACTTTTGTAAGCACATGAGTAATTATCCCCCTAACGCCTCATGACATCTAGACAGAGGTATATAAGTATATAAGTATGTATGTTACGGGGGGTATGAAGATTACTGCTATATATTATACTACACTGAACTGCATTTGTGAAATTTTCTCCCTGAAAGAATTATTCTGTTGATAGCTTCCCACGAAAATGAAATTTTAAGTTATCTACCAACAACTATTGATATCATTTTTTTAATAAGGAGCCCTAGGTACCCCTCTATATAAGCCACTGCATCTAGATAACTTTTGGTTTGCAAATAAACTGATTGAGTATACGATTAACTCATTGACCAAACTGAATTTGATGAAGCAAGAATTTTCAGAATATACTCAATTGTTGAATTATTTCATTATATCCCAATGATTAGGTTGATCCACACAACTGGTTTTATTCAAATGAAGAACTTCTTCGGAGGCCTTTTCTTACTGACTCTCGTCTCAGATTCATCATCTGAATCAGGTATTACTCTTCTTGTGTCATTTATACCAGTCGTCTCGCCTGGGAATCTCGCCACAAAGTTTTCTTTTCCTATGATCGTACTTTGGGGGTAGAGTGGTCTCACCTGCAACATTGAAGAAATGGTTATCCATAAATGTTTATGAGATGAACGATTTTCATAACATAACAAATAATATGTATCATTACTCTTTCGAAATAATCAGAAATGCTTTTTGAAGGTTCAACATCAATTCAGTTGATACACCTGTCCTACAAATTATTTATTTCTGAAAAATCTATCTAATGAATAGCAGTTTGGAACTCAGATAAAAGAAATCAAGTTTAGGTGTCTCAAATAGAATGAAATTTAGGGAAAATTAATTCACGTTTGAGTGTAAGTTTGTTACATTTGAACCAGCATTTATTTTCACTTGCTTTGATATTTTTTCCTCATAAAAAATGGTGGTTTCATCAGCGAAACTGATTATTGTTCCTTCACTTTACATTGTCAATTAACTATTTGAGTAGAGGAAAACAAGGGACCAAAAACTGTCCCTTGTGGTACATTATAAATAATCAATCGGGTTTCATGTGTTGTCGATCTGAACGGTAGCTTTTCATCAAATCTTTAGAATCTCTCATCTCATGTCATAAAAATTAATCAAAGGTATGAATAAAATTATCTATCTACCACAATTTTTCTTAAAGGTCGTCTATTTTAGGAATTTCATCCTGACGTTTTGCTGGCATGAGTGGCTAACTTCTTCAGAGGTTCATACATGGATGTATAAGGAAAAAATTCCAAAAACCGACGTCCTCCAAACCCGAAAAATAGAAACAGTGATCTATCTAATTTTTTAGTAATGTCAACTTAACTGGCATTGAAGTAATTGATACTTTTCTGTCTGACCACACTTATCAAATTGGTTTTTTCAAAGTAGTCTCAACTATAAATAGTAGTATTAAATACATTTCCACACGTAATCTTCACGAATCTAACATAAATACTCTCCGAAACATACTATCAAGGGAAGCATGGATAGATATGTACTCAGCGGTAAACTTTCAAGAAAAAATATCAGCATTTTACGAAACATTCTTATACCACTATAAGGTAGTTTTCCCTAAATTAACTAAACGAACAAAAACTCGTAGAAACAATGATTTTCCCAAACACATCAAAGATATGCACAATATGCTGTGTGAAATGAATAGGCTACGAAAGGAATTAAACAACTCAAACTACACACAAAGTCACAATTCCTTTAAAAAAGAATATCACATCAAAATACTTGCAACAAAAGAACAATGCCCGTCTTGAAAATAGCTCTAATATCATGAAAGAAAGCTGGAAAATAATAAGTGAAAACCATAACAAAATACATCAACCCTTATCAAACATAATAAAAACTGTTAATAATAAAAACCTACCTATTGAAAATATGGCAAATTCAATCAATGAATATTTCATAGAAAAGAATCAAAATAATAATGCAATTCCCTAGTATCATATGGTAATCAATAAATTTCACATGAGCTTTTTTCTTCTTCCAACATCACCAACAGAGGTAATCACTCTAATAAAAAAAAACCACATCAAAACCAGTGGAAGGTATCGACGAGGTAAGTGGCAAAGTCATAAAATGTGTTGCTGGATACATCGCTGAGCCCTTGTCCTAATTAATCAACGAATCCTTCACTGCAGGTGAGTTCCCAAATATTCAGGAATCCAAAGGAATACCAGTCTTTAAAAATGAAGGATCGGCAAGTGACTTGACCAACTATCGTCTGATCTGCATGCCAAGTCACATCGCATTGAATCAGCATATTCCCAACGATTGACTAACTATCTTGAACGATTTCATCTACTACCAGAAATTCAAAATGGGTTCAGAAAAACTAAGTCTACCACTGGAGCCATTGGAGATGGATTAGATTTTATTTACGAGGCACTCAACGAAACACAAAACACTATTGGTCTTTTTTATGATCTAAGTTGTGCATTTCACTTAGTAGATCACAAACTACTACTCATGAAAATGGAAAGTGTGGGGATACGAGGTAAATCACATATTTGGGCAGAATCATATCTTTCAAATCAATCTCAAACGATTATTCTTAATAATGAACGGTCCAAGTCAATGAAAACCTCTAGAGGAGTGCCCCAGGGTTCGGTACTCGGGCCTCTGTTTTTTATCATTTTTATCAGTGATATTAACAGATCATGTGGTACTTCTGATAGAATCATAAAATATGCAGATGACAAAACACATCCTCAGTATGAACAACTCATTGAGAACTTCAACAAAGCATCTACTGAATTTAGTAAATACTGTCAAGAAAATGGCCTAACATTGAATGCAGAAAAGGCGAGATATATGCGATTTCTACCAAAAAATATGACATTTGATTACAATCCTCATTTACATATTGACAACAAATCTATTGAAGTCGCTGATAAAATGAAATTCCTGGGGGTAACATTAGATGCAAAGCTCACTTGGGAAACGCACGTGAACACAGTAACCACAAAACTAAGTTCTCTGTGTTATGTAATCCGAAATATAAGAGACACAGTATCATCCCATGTATTAAAGCTTGTATATTATGGATTGGTGCAGTCAACTATTCAATATTGCTTAATATTCTGGGGTTCAGCAACACATCTCAATAGAGTCCAGAAACGAATATTACGAGCCATGCACAAAATGACCCCAACATCATCGTGTAAAGAGGTTTTTAAAAAAGAAATTTTAACACTACCAAGTTTATTTATTCTGCAACTTATAATGTATGTCAAAGAAAATAATCAAATATTAAAAAAAAACGCTGATTTATACTCTTATAATACACGAAACAAATTAAACATTCACCAACCTGTTTCACGCTTAGAAATTGCACAACATGCTCCCAAACTCATAGGAGTTAAATGCTATAACAAGTTCGGTGACATATTGGATACAGACAAAACTCTTAGAGTCAAAAAACATTTTAAACTTTAAGAACAAACTTAAAACATTTTTAGCAAGTCATGCTTTTTATGATTTAAATGATTTTTTAAATTTTAGATGTAATGTAGATTGAATGTATTAGTGTAAGTATACTGTAAGTCTCGAATTATGTTAAAGTGCACCCTTTGTATTTTAAACTGTTTGACTAGTCTGATAAATTTATGTAATTTTAATTATGTGGATTTCACGATGAATAAAATTAATGTTAATGTTAATCTATCTATCGATCAAAATTTAGATATACCTTCTTGAACCTCTTGAAATTGTTTCCACTACCATAAGTGACTGCCCCATCTGTAACATCTCCACTTTTTCGAGATCGAATTGAGATATCTGGCATGACATCAACAATTACTTTATTTTTGAACAAATCAATGAAACTCTGCATCTCTGTATCATATTGTTCTTCATTCTTCACATGCCTACTTGTTTCTTTCGATATCCACATATAATTCATTTCGTGATTCTCAATTTTATATATACTTGAGGAATTGCATGTTTTTTCAGGTGATTTGTCATTTACTCTGGTACTAGAAAATATATTCGGTAGAGTTTCTTCATCTGATGGTTTACGTGCAGATGATTTGAAAGGATTGTCATCAGATATTTGAGATACTTCTTTACTGGATTTCTTCGTTAAACTGAAGGGGTTTATTACTCTAGATGTCGATTCTGGATCTTTTCTAGATTTTTTCAATAACATCGCAAAAGGTTTGTTGTTATCATCTTTTTTGTTTTCACTTGCGTCACACTGTTCTGCTTTTCTTTTATTAGATGTAACAGCCTGAAAAGTGTGATATAGAAATATTTGTAATATTTTCTAGGACAAGAAACTGAAAATGATTAAATATCATTTACTACCAAAAATATTTCATTTCTAAAAATAAGACTGAGTGTTGGAAATAATTTTTTGTGGAAGATTAAAGTGTTATTTGAAGCAGTCACAAGCACAAGTTACTGTGCAAATTTAATATATTTTTCCTTGAGAAAAATGTTCTCTATTCTTCAGTAACTTGTCTTATTTAATTTTGACTATAAAAAAGAGCTATAAATTTTATAGGGCACTTATCGTAACATTACGAAGACCTATATCTAGCTCCATCTTCAGAATTAAAAATCAACAAAGTAATATCAGAAAAAACTTTGTTACTACATTGCAAGTTTAGTCAATCAACAATTTCGAAATTTTTTTATTGACCTTTTTTTTGAGATTCTCACTTTCTACAAGGCGAAAAAAATAAAAATTGTAATGAAAAACTTCATATAGGTGTAGAAAGGCCAAACTTTTTAGTTGACTCCAATAAGTTACTGCTATATACCAAAAATACACAAAATCTAATGCTCCTTAACACCTATTATAAGTTAACAGGATGTCCTTGTTGAAAATTAGTAAATCTTCAGATCAATCTACAAATGTTTATCAAAAACAAACGCATCTTAATTAGATATCTCAACTACACATGAAACCATCAAGCGAGTGTTGAAAAAAGACATAATAAATAGTCTCTATAACAGAGCAAAAGGGATAAACATAACCGATGAAATAGTATCATTGATAAAATCTGTTCTGAATGAGAACACTTAACCAGAGTCGTTCGTAGATTCAATAACAAAAGCAATAGAAAATAGTCAAAAACCAAATGATCATTTTGAGTAGTAGACTGAGTAAAGTATGTTATGGCATCAGAATAATTCGAAAAATATATTGATTCAAATGCAGTGCTAAAAAATTATGTGGCAAACACGGCGAGAAGTAAAAAGTTGCCTATGGATCAGTGAGGTATTCACAATCAGAGCAAGAAAGAGCATCAAGAAGCTTGCATAGAACATGAAGGAATGTGTTATCCAACAAGGGTGAAGTATCAAGAAGAATTCTCTATAGCAGGGCAGTGAGAACAGTTGGAAGAATGATCACAAGTGTGCCATTAGAGTGTTGAAAGGCGAGGCAGTCCCAGATATTAGCTTAGTTCAGAGAGATGGTTGAAACAAGGGGCGGTGTTAAAAGCGATAGTGGGAAGTTGCAAAAATTGTTAATTAATAGAGTTGAACCCACACAAACGTAACAATATCATTCTTCTTTCTACTATACGATTCTAAGTTGGATTACAACATAAAAACTCTGGAACAGTTAAAATTACAAACCTTTGAAATGAAGTTATCATTTTGCTTTTCTGCTTGGTCTTTTATTGTACTATTGTTCCTTTCTTGCACACCCATTTCCCTAAAAATATAATTTTTTTACAATAGCAATAATTTTTTTTGCAAGGGCAAAAGTATTAAACAATTTTTCACCTTCTACTTTTGTCTTTCTCTAATTTCAATTTCTTTATTGGATTACCATGTTCTGTTTCATTCCTAACCCTTTTTGAACTATCTTTTTCGATAACTGTTTCACAATCGGTTTTTTCTTTGGAAGTATCAGTTTTTCGATTTTTTATCTTTACAGCTTCCATTGTGGGATCGAATGTGTCTGGAATGATCATTCGTGTTTCACCTTCTATTTTACAAATACCCTCAGAGAAACATTCACTTTCTGTATTTGGTACAAGGGCATTGTTTTGTGTAGGTTCTATTGCTCTCGAGGTTGGAAATACCTCTTCTGCCCTGTTGAAGTTTGGATTACAATCTTTGTCACATGAACCGTGAACTATGGCCATTGCTATTTCTTGAAGAGGGATAGTCCTTTGGCCTTTTTTAATGAAATGCTTGATTATTTTGTTGAAATGTGTGTCTTCTTCTTGATTGGGAGTTTGTATGATTATAAATTCTTTTTGACTGTTGAGAATATCTGCTAGAGGTATCGAAGTCTTTTCCCAAGACATCGCCGCACCTCCTGCGAAATGACAAAATATTGTTAATTCATATACTAGAGTTTTTTCTAAACGATGTTCTCTCAAACATATTTTTTAATGAAAAAAGAGAATTGAAACTTACTATGTTTTTTACCAATTTTATTTGTAACTAACGTTAGTACAGTTTCGTCCTATAAGGACATTTTCAAACTTATACATTGAAGTTTATTGTATAAGTTTGAAAATGTCCTTATAGGACGAAACTGCAGTGATATTACTTTCATTTGAGTTTTAAAAAAACTATTAGCAAAAAACATTCAAAGAAGGTTGCTCTCACCAAGAGACAAATGAAATCCATCTATGAATTTTAGTAATTATTGGAAAAAAATGCAAATCATTTCTACAGAAACTTTTTGTCTATAAATGAGCTGAAACTGCCACTTTTGCCAAAGTGGGTTTCTAAACGAAAATTCTACCATTGCAATGTATAATTTGTCAATTTTCTACTGGTTTTGGGTTGTTTTGAAGATTTCCTACTATTTTAATCAATATATTTTATCATAAATATGAATATTTTTCTGATATTAGTCAACTTACCTACTTTTTTGATAATATCTTCCATTTGAATTTTAGATTTTTCCTTCAAGAACATGAATGTTTTTCCTTTGAACAATTCTTTCCTGGTGATATTACTCTTCAATTCTACTTTATTCAGTAAAGCCTCAGCCATTGGTGGATTTTGATACTCTTCAATGTTAGGAGGTGGCAATCTTTTGTTAATATTTTCAACATATTTGGACCAATAAGCTGGAATCACTATTGGTTTTTGATCGATGAGAGCATGCAAAACTTTAACTGTCAAAGTTATTTCTTCTACAGTTAGATGTGTGCACTCTGAAGTCCAGTTATCTGTATATAGTCCTCCCAGCAGGGCAATGTCCTTCTTTAATTTAGTTTTATGAATACTACTCAAGCGTGTACCACTAGTTACAAAATTTTGCACCTTGAAGCTGAAAAAATTGTAGCAATTAATGAATAAAATGTTTCTCAACAAATCAGAGGAAAATATTCGTTTTGATAACTCAAACTAGTTTGGAAACATTTTCAATGTTCAGACTTCAACGAATATTTGAGTCAAAACTTGGTGCTTCAATCTACTTTCGCAGATATTACCATTCAAAAGTTGACTAATGGGCTTTCTTTTCATAATCATTTATTACAGACCTTTGATCACTGGCTACTTCAATTTTGGTAAAATTGCATCTTTTCCAGCAAACTATAAAGTTAAACTAGAAACAAATGAAACGTTGAAAAATTTATATGACCTCTGACGAGATAGAATGTGCTTTCCACAATTGACTCCGCATTTGTAGTTTGTGTAGTGTTTTATTAGGAATAAGGCTGAATTGACAAAAAAGTACTATCACATCACAGTATCAGTAGGTTTTGACTTCATATGTGATATATTTTAAAAATAAGCACAAGTTGTCAAAACAAATATTTCCTCTAAACAATAAACATCTCTAAAACTGAAATCTTACATAAACTGACTAGATATGACCCCAAACTGTATAATGTCATTATTTTTCAATCTGATCTCTTCATTTGGAGATATTTCCTTATTTCTGTATTGAGTTTTATACTTTGATCCACAGTCTTCAAGTGTTGCATGATTCTCCTAAAATAAAATAAATAATACAAGATACATCCTCACTCATCCTTCATTTACCTTTATTCGTATTATAGCATGTCTTCTGCTAATAGACTGATCATTTTGTAATAGAATATCACAGTCTTTTCGCCCAATAACAAATTCATTTTGATTCAGCAGATAAAATGTTTTTCCTAAATCAAGAGAACATTATTTTGACAAAATTAATCTACCTTAATAACTAAAAATTAATACTCTTTCGATGGATTTGCTGCAATCCATGCAAGCGCCTTGAGAATGAGTGGAGGTATGGGAGGTGGTGTCGGCAAGTGGTTTCCTTCAGGGTGGAATCCATTCTCGTCAGCTGTGTATTTCAAGTTGATCTCTTGACCTTCTGGTGAAGTGTAAAGAAAAGATCCTTGAACAAACAAGTCGACACCATCCTTGTTTATTTTTCGAACCTTTCCTTCTTCCTGAACATATATACCATTATCTGTTTCATACCTGATGGAAAAGAAAATTGTTGATATAAAACATTTTGAAATAAAATAATAAATAAATGGGTGTTTGATAAACTAATAAGCTTAGATATTAATCGTGCACTTTCATTATGTAACGAACAAACATTACCTGAAGACATAATTTTTTGGAAATCGATGTCGAATGGTTCGTTCGATATCTTTTCATGAAGATATGAACGTTGATGCGTTTGAAGAATATTTTCAGCAGAAGTTAGATCTCATCCACTCAACGCTGTGATTGTGATGGATAATGCAAGTTACCAATCCAGAAAATTAGAAAGAATACCAATTAATGCAAGGAGAAAAGCGGATATCATTGAGTGGCTTCGACAAAAAAAATATTCCATTTGATGAAAGTATTGTGTGTAATACGTTCAAATGAAGCACGTTTCATGGAATGTGTAGTCGACAAGATGACACAGAAACGAAATATATTTCTGCTCAAGTAAAGGATGTCTTTGAAACACGACATTTGAAATAAAAAAAATGTCATGTTAGAATAGAAGAGGATAACATGTCAAAAACAGAGCATTTAGTTGAGAAAATTGTAAAACCTTTAATCATGACATTCAACGAAGCTTCATACCAATATCCTGGATGTCAAGAAGCTTTATGGACTTCTGGCAGAATCTTTCAGGACTGGCTCACTTCAAGGCGTTTATATCCTTCGAAGCTTGATACCAAACAGTTGTTGGACTACAGTAGGGATGAACTACGATGTCTAACAGGCCTTCTTACAGGTCACTGTCATTTGAATCATCATATGCAGAGACTCGGACTGTCGGAAGACAGTGTGTGTCGCCTCCCTTTGGAAAATGATGAAACAGCGGAGCACACACTTTATGCCTGCCCCACTGGGGACCAAATCAGGTTTTTAGAGTTCGGCAGGGCTGTACTCTTACCATCAGACCTGNCAAATATGAAATCTTCTGTTTGGGATCCGTTTGCGATAAAAAAATAGGGGGACCTGGTGAAGTATTATAGATTCGTCTATACCAGCTGTGGCAAATTATAATGCAATAACAAAATTATAATGGAATCACAAAATTTCGTTTGAGCACTGTATTAGCGTTTTGAAATCTGCATATATGTGATAGGAAAATTAATCATTTAATTGAAAGTACAGCATTAAGTGCAGGGAAAACTATGACGTACCTATATTACTATAGGTTAATATGAGAGATCTGATTGAATTAAAGATCCAAAATGGTTTGATTTCTCTTGAGAATGCAAAGGGAGAAACTCGCAGAAAAAGTAGATAGTCGATAGAAAATTGTTTAAACCGAATCTGGTATATAAGTATAGGACAATTTTTGTGAGTTAGAGGAAACTCAACAAACAAAAGTGCATCAGTAGGCTGTATTGGGAGAGAAATAGATCAACCCACTAACTTTTTTAACGTGAAAATGAACGGGAAACGTAGAATGTAAATGAAACTCACGCATATTCATAAGATCCATCAGGTTCGAGTTCTTGAAAATGTCTCACGGTCGAGAATTGCGACGGTATAGTTGCAGCTGAAGCTGCGGCTATCACAGCCATTATTGTTACCTGCAATGATAATAATAAAACTAAAAATCAAGTACTAATTTTTCTTTCCAGTTGTTTCAGACCAATTCCTCAGAGGACAAACGCCATAGCGTCAAATTGTTAATAAGATGCAAAACATAATAGTTTGATTCGTCTCTTTATTTTCCATACGGATATTTCCTTTGTCAATTTGTATAGAATAGAAGTTGACAAAAAAAAATCCTGTCAAACTCTTCTGAACCCAATTATATAGAACTATTGAAAAATCAACTCATAACTTACAAAAAATACTCCTCATCTGTAGTATTATGAATATGTTGAACGGTGTTAATAATAATTCACACATATTTTTTTCTATTACTTCATTCAAAAATATTTAATATTTGCAATAACACCTTTATCTCACCCATATTTGATTTTTATTCTTCCATCAATATACAGGTGTTAAAAGTAACGATTTGGTGTTGGGAAAAAACTCCAGTAATATTCATTACTATACCAAAGGTTCCAAACAGTGCATCATAAGAATATACAAGACTTTTTGTTTATATCTCTTCTTCTACATTTTCTTCAATTCTCACGAAGTTTTTATTCTCTATGTCAATGTAAAAATCAATAACCATTAAACAGGTTTATTCATACAACGAAATTTGTTCTGAAAAATATCTATATAGATATTTTGGTTCTCATTTCCAAGATCATTTTTTGCTTGAAAAAGCTATTTTATTTCTTGCTTGAGAAAGCTATTGTGTGTCAAAAGTTGTGTTGCGGTTTTGTGAACCTTTCATCGTGAAAATCAAAATAAATCTCGAATATGGATTTCCTTCAAGTATCGGCCAGTTCCATTNAAAACAATGGAAACTCATGGAAAATGAGAAATAAAACTCCCTATGTTTTCATACCACTTGTATTCGTACGTTACTGTTGTAACGTTAGTTACAAATACAGTTGGTATCAAAACATAGGAAGTTTTATTTCTCATGATGATGATCTTCTATCAAGTAGTAACGGCTATATCCATCAATTAATTCAATGAAAACTCATACACAGATATTTCTTTCAGATACGAACTGAAAGAAAACAATCAGCTTTTCCGACGGAAATAAGAAACTACACAACGTAATCAATCATACAATATTGATACCGAAATATACTTTCATGACGGATTTTTCTTCAGTTTTGTTAACGAAAGAAACATCTACGTATGTTTTATCAAAGAGTATCATTGTTTATAAATTGGGTTTTTTATATTTTCTCATTTTCTCTCAAGTTTCCAATTCTTTATAATAGTAAAACTGAAAATTCAAATAATTTTGAACAACTTGCAGTTTGGAGTTTGAAAAACTGAAATCATGAAACACTAATAATTGATTGTTGAAAACAATTATTTTGCGTTGTGTCAGTTGAAAACGTTTTTTGAATCCATATGATCAATGCTTAATTGAGATCTTGCTGTTTTTATTTTTCTATCTTTCTTTTAGTGTGAGAAACATGAAAATTATCCGGAAGAGAAGAAAGTAGAAAATACGAATGTGAAAATGTAAAAAAATATGCATTAATTAAAAATTTTTTTAATGAAAATTAGAAGAAAGAGTCTACCTGAATCAACCATTGGATTGCACAGTATGAACTACACCAAACATTCACGAAAACTTTAGTAATGTAATGACAAAAATAGTGTCCTACTGATTGTATTATTCAAATATATGATGCCAACTTCTCAACGAGCCTCAGTTCAGATAAGAAATGAAGAAAGCCGTACATTTATACCTACCAACAATTTGAGCATCCTGTAACACTCGCGAACACCACTTGAAATTATTCCAATGGAAAATTCACACGAGTTTTTATAAGCTGCACCCTCCCTAATAATGAGGAGAAATTACTATGTATAAAAAATGGAATTTGAGTTTAAGGTTGAAACATGAATATATACGCACTTATTACGAAATTTTGAATATATTCGGAAACTTGGAAGCTCAGATTGTTTACTTGATAAAGATGATGGATACTCGTGATGTTCGTTACACCGCAATTTCGCCTTGACTTTTTTTGTCAGTTTTTGTTAGTGAATTCCTTTTGATTAATTGATATGGCTATCAACAGTATCGTAACAAGACAGAAAAAAGCCCGCGGAGTTTTACAGTGAGAGTCCTCTTTGCGTGGGATAATTTGATTACTGTTCATCAAGTTTGAAACGTAATCGTTCATTAAAAGATCCAGTTACACCATTTAAAAACGCAATTCCATCTTTTCTGTAAATTATTGGTAAAATGAACGAGTAGTTGTTCGACAAATAATAATTGTTTAATTTTTGGAAATAATGTAAAAACTCCAGTAATATTCATTACTACACCAAAGGTTCCAAACAGTATATCACAAGTAATATCTCACTATTGAATTGTCCATTATACACTTCTAATTGTAAAAATTGAAATTGAGCATAGTAGGCTGTACTTTCATGACACAAATATAATTCATGACAATAAGCCAACTAATGGATCACCTATAGTTTTTCTCCTTGAAGGCTACAAAAGTGGCTGAAGCTGTAATCAGCTTCACCAGTATAATATACAAAACCATCTGATAATACCTACAAATACTGTATAGTCCAAATATCTGCTTTTAGCAGGTTCGCAAAACTATTGAAATTTTGTGATTTTTTTTAGGTGTCAATTTCAACACTTTTATAAAACTTTTTAAATCTGAAGAAATGAACTTTAAACGTTCAAGCCAGTCTCCGATATACCTACACAGTAGGTTGAATGGACTGACGTCTATCAGAAAACAGCTACTCCCCTGGCTAATACCACGAAATACGTTGGATTATATTCGACAGATGTCAGTGCAGGATTCTTTACTGAAGTTATTCTTGTATAGGCTGTTGGCGATATAATTGCCACAATAGATTTTCAATTATTGGAACACACTGGCACACCGATTTCGAGCTGTTTGGACACTCGTCAGTGCACGGTAGTGTCTATCATCAACATAAAGTCGATGATTTCCGATAATTGAAAACCGAATTTATTCAGAGTATCATTCCCCGAACTAGACTGGAGCGAACAACAACCAACAGGTTTGTAATCGCTCTATCTGCCTGAGGCAGGTTGGTTACCTGGTTCACAGGCAGATGGAGCGATTACAAACCTATTGTTTGTTGTTCCATTCAGCCTAGTCTCTTTTCAAAATCTCATTGGAGGTCAATGTCTTTACAAAGGCATTTCTGTTGTATTCAGAAGATTGTTGAAGCATTTATATTGAACCATTCGTTAGTTACTATCTTTATGCTTGAAGAAGCTATTGTATAACGAAACACGTGTCGCGGATTTTGTAAAACTCTTATAGTATTGATTAGTTTCTTAATATGGATTTTCATCAAGTATCGGTCAGTTCTATTTAATTAGTTACTATCTCTATTTTTTGTGTGTTACTGGGCATACATAACTTGAAAGCGAAACTTCCAGAATAGGCTTCTGAAAATCTTGTTGCTCATGGCATGCCAGAAATACAATTCTATTCCACAATATTGACGTTTTCTGAATGAAAAAAAAAACAAGAATGTTGGGAATCAAAAAGGCAACATTTTCAGGGGAGCTCAGTTTTTGGTCAAAGAACGTTTTCATATTCATCGTCTCCAAACAAAAACTTCCGCAAAAATTACAGAAAGGAAGGAAAATTACACAAAACATTTTTCCCCCTTTAGGTTGAACTCGACTTTTGAAATAAAATTCCACTTACGTGAAACCCTGTCCTACTTTTTGGAAATTTTGGGATGAAAATATGTATACTCAACTCCTCATCACCACCTTTTTGAACTTTTAAAGTGGAGGAAACTTCTGAAGAAAGAAAGGAATAAATTACCTTCATATGTATAAACAACTTCTTTCATATGACTACGCATTTCTCGTACAAGATTACGATTTTATGTCACCAAAAATGTCAATTCTGCTCTTACTATAACGACAGTTCGAAAAAACATCCATACCTACTGTAAATTGACTCATTCCTAGCCAAATGCATTTCCTTTCAAACAAATCTTGAGTAACTTTTTTCGAGATCAATTGCCCTAACACCAAACTGATATTTTTGCACTCGACGCGCGTTTCAACAACAAAGTTAGTACCCTCAGGAAAAGAAAATTGATACCTAGTCTAGTCTGGTTAATCCTTATATACTAAAATTTGTTACCTGAGGTTGTATACCTGAAGTCCATTATGGAATTTCTCGGTAATTAACTACCTGCAAGTTCTTAGTAATTTTTCTCTTCGTAACAGAAGATTAAAAAGCGGGCTAAACGGGATGGGTCCCTTATCGCCATTCATGCTGTTCTTACATTTTGCTATTTCTAGACTCTCACAGGCATTGGGTAGCCTGGTGTCATGCACATGCTTAATCAGTTTCAGATTGTTTTCACCAATTCTGTGGTCCTTGTCTAGAGCATGTTGGGCGACACTGGATTTTTCTATCCTTCCGTATTTCATGTGTGCACAATTCTCCTTGAAGTGGGTTTTAATCGCTCGTCGGCTCTGGCTGATGTATTTGCTGTTGCAATCTTGACAACTGATTTCGTAAATCCCCGACCTTTCTGTGTTTTATAGTCTATCTTTTGGATTACCAAGAAGTTTTATATGCAACTTTCATGTTTACTTTATCGAATATCTGTTGAAGCCCTCTCGTGTATTGGGGTTCATATGGGATTACTATAAACTTGTTATTACTCTCCTCTTTTTGAAAAGTCGAAGATTTACGAAGTGCTTCCCTAAAACTTGCATTTTCTAATTATCTTGTCAACTATATTTGGGTTAAAACCGTTTGCTTCAGCTACATACCGAATCACTCTCTTTTCATTGTCGTACTTATCTTTCTTTGAAGGAAAAGTTATTAACCTGTGTACCAGAAATTGCAGTGCCGCCGGTATTTTCAGGTACTAAAGTCAAGTAGTTGAAGTTTATTTGGTAAATTCTCATTCCAGACATGGTCAAATACCTCACCAAGTATCAAGGGCAACATTACCTTGGTGCACTTGATTGCATTACGCATTAAGACATTTACATCCCAATATTGTGGACCAAGAAGTATTAGAGAAGCCTACAGAAGTTGCTCAGTGGGTTTCGAAAGCGTTTCATTTGCCCGACAGTATTGCATCGTTAAGAAATAAAGAAAAAAATTACATTCATTATAATGCTATTCAGATTGGTACCGTAGAGCTTCAGGGCAAGTGTCTTACGGCGAAATATCGATGTCTACCAGTGAGGATGACAGTGTTCTATGTAAATGAAATTTCCACCTTTCATTTAGTATACTGTGTAGAAATCATTTGAATAATATCTGATTCAATTCCATAACGAACGTTTGGAATACAAATTGAGTAAGTAGATAAAAGTGTTTTTTGTATAATTTAGTGTTCATATATAAGTATTTGTTTCGAAAGAATTTTTTATTTCGTGTAATTCAATGTTTATATGAAAGAAGCTGATTCAGGAGGGCTTTTTCTTCAAGTTTGTGTGCGAGAGTTACTTTTTTGCATGATCTACACATCCATATATAGAGTTACTTATTTTCAAATTGATTACTTCCTTCCTTTCTCTGGAAGATTCTCACATTTTTTTCTGTATCAAGATCGAGTAGTAGAAAGCCAAAAACTTTCTTTTTCAAAAAATGTGTGATATTTCAATGAAAATTTCAGTTTTGCTTGATTTTTTCGAAAACAATCTCCGTACCGTACACTAGATATTCACGTGATAGATAAATATGTTAATAACGTTCCATTCACCTGATTGGAGTCGCGATCATTACTTGCAACCTTGATACTCTGGAACATCGAAGAATGGTTGGAGATGTGTCTCTCTTCAATAGATACTTTCGCACAGACACCGTGTTGGAGTTCGTGAATCAAGCGGACTGAACTACATCGCTTCAAATCCAATGTGAATCGCTACTTTCGCACAGGCACCGCTCTTAGAGCTTCCTAAGGTTTTTCCTGTAGTGCTTGTGTTCTGTCCTTGAAAAATGAATTTTTCATTGAGGCCTTTCAAGCTTATCTACTAAAAAGAATAAAATAAATTCAGTAAGTGGTATTAATTGAAGTTAAAATAAATTATGCCTTCCTACGTATATCTAGATATCTTCCCACATACTAAATATATCGATAGCATTGTTTATAATTCAATATTGTACTTGTTTTCAATTCATAGTTTTGCTTGAAACTTTATAAGGTTCTGCGCTATTGGTTCATAAATAATTTCCGACTAATGAATCCTCTGTTCTGGTTGCGACTGCAAAATGATCCTAAACTGTCTTGAACCGTCCCGAATCGTTCTTGCTCTCGAGGCTGAACTGTTGAGAACCGTTCCCGTTGCGACGGACTGTGACTGCTCATCGTTTTGAGGTTCAACTAAGTACATCTCCAATTCCACTGTTTAAAAGCTCTTTCATTTGGAGAACTGCGTTTATATGGAATACATTTTCCGAGAATGCTTTTCCAATGTTTGTGTTTTGTCCTTTGTTGCAATAAAAAAAGACAGTTTGTGAAGTTTTATTCGTAAACCTGTTATATTTCCACAGATGCATGGGATTTGGAAAACGTAAAACAACGCAGTGAGCTACCGAAGTGATTGCCTCCTGGTTTGTGTGATAAATTCAAGGTGAAGTTTTCGTCAATGTTGTCGATCTTTATCTTGCATTTTCGTCCCGCCTTCCTTATATGATATATAATCTTCTCATTAAGAAGTCGTCGACTCATCCTTAAAATGGAAATTGATATCCTTGATTTGTATTTTTTCAAATATTCAACTTTTGAACTTTCGCAAATACGTCGATAGTTTTTCAATATATTATAGATGTATTAAGTTGGTCTGATGGTTTCGAAACAATCAAACACTTTCATTGACAACAATAATGATAATAATGATATTTATTTGACAATAAAAGTACAGTGAATATAAAAGTTTGAAGAAAAGAAAAACATATACAAAATCAAAATGATCAATGGCTGAAGATCTTATCAACCAGAAGAGTTTTTGAGTGCGCGATTCAGTGTTAAATGAACATATTTTT